AAATATCAACAAGAAATGTCACTTCATAGAATTTATTTAGTAACTCAATTCAACGATCTTATCATGAGCTCAAGTTCCGAACAGTCTGCTTACTTCTTCATGACTAATGTAATCATTGAGGAATATTTGAATAAATGTGAACAGTAACTTTTCAGTCATTTTACAGTAATTGATGAACTATTTTCCCATTGTGTCCTCTCTAATAACGATGTAGCGGCAACACAGCAAGTTGAAAATTTTCCGAAATTTATAACATATAGCCATTGCTGGAAGTATGTCAGTGAACGTTCCAAGTTGGAAGAGCCAAAGCAAATTCTCAAAGCTTCCTGAAACGTAAAGGGGCAAAGTAATGCACATTATTCATGGGACGTACATAAAGCACCGCCGTTAACCGAAGACAATGATAGTTAAACATTTGATGATTACAACACAGTTAACGGCCATCATGCATTATAGATGTTCTCCAGGCAACGGAAAACAGTTGTTCCTTTACACAAATACTCTAAATTAAAAACAAGATAGATGCTTTACTGATTTTTCAGTCCATCTTGCTAGCTACGCTCGTATGAAATTTGTTGATACTTCAGCACAGTCGTTGGTTCGCAATAAGACGAGTGACGAAGGAACGTTATTTGAAAGATCAAGAATCATTAACCAATTTTTGGCCTCGACATAAGAATAAGAAAATAACAGATTAACTGATGTCTTACTCTTGGTTTCTAGATTTCCGTGGCGAGAAAGACACGTCAATTTGTTCACCAAATTAATACAGAAATTGATCTGCGAGAAATTAGCGCACTCTGAGTCAGAATCTTTATACTGGTTTATTTCATTAAGCTTTGGTGTGGACATTGCGGGCTTCTCACTGATAGAAATAGGCTCGAGTTTTGCGCAGGAAATACCGCGCTTATTTCCACCCGATGTGGCACAAGTGCTGCAGTACACGGTAGTATGTACCGCGTGTTCCGTATGACGTTTGCAAATGTTTTGTGGTTGTGCAAGCTCGGGAAATCTTCCCGTATTAGGCATTCCATCAGCCATAACAGTGGGTGTCAGAATTCTTTTAGCTGGGACAAGCAAAAAAACATACTGACTGAAAGGATAGATGAAAAAATTGATCAATAGCAATGCTATTGGCAGGACAAGACGAGACCTGTCGGATGAGCCCGATGATTCGCCAGAAGAAGATGTCCCGTTTTTGTGGTGGATTGCTGCGGGATGCTCGCCTGCCCAAAGACCGAAGTCACGCTCGTAAAGCAATCATGTTTGCTGGTAAAAATCTAACTATAATTTATTGGTATAAATGAATTTTTATAAAATAACATTATTTCTATCGATAAAAGTGCTAACATGAAATTACCCTTGGTACATTCTTGGCATTATGAGTTCCTCTGGCATGAGGCAATTGAAAATTTGTCAAAAAAGCCTCTATGAAGTGCCTTATTAGATCCGAGTTGTAAGCACAGAAGTAACCCCGCGAATAAAACTGAAACAAATTAAATATGAAAGACGGTGAAAAAAAGATAATGTGAAAATGAGGATGTTATATGGAGACGATTACAAACATTGAACAAAATTTGTTCCTAAAAGTTAAAGTGCTCGACATTACTGCTAAGAATATTCATCTGATATCACGAATCTGAAGTGATTTCTTCCCAACAATTCTTTGGAAATATGGAAACACGTATAACTATTTTTTAGAAATACGTATGAAACCGAAAAGTATACAACAGCTCATGCTGTTAGTTTGTTAGTTCAGTTTATTTATTCTTTGTTCTTTTTCTTTAGGAGGTTTTGGAAACACAGCTCCAAGAGAGTGGTTTCTGAAGTGTCTTTCATCGCAAGCCTTTGTGGGGTCCACGTTAATGTACTATAAGTACGGCTGTCAGAACCTGGGTAACCCCAGAATTACGACTACCAATAGATTGACATTTTGTCTGATGGGAAGTAAATTTTTTGTCTGACCGGAGGTTGATATGCTGTCTGCCAGCAGGTTGATGTTTTGTCTGACAGGAGGTTGATATTTTGTCTGACAGCAGGTTGATATTTTGCCTGACAGGTGATTGATATTTTGTCTGACAGGAGGTTGATATTTTGTCTGACAGGAGGTTGATATTTTGTCTGACAGGAACCTGATATTTTGTCTGACAAGAGGTTGATATTTTGCCTGACAGCAGGTTGATATTTTGTCTGACAGGAGGTTGATATTTTGTCTGACAGGAACCTGATATTTTGTCTAACAGGAGGTTGATATTTTGCCTGACAGCAGATTGATCGTGGGCAATTTTCGACCTATTTTAAATTTCAGGAAAAATTCTTCTACTTGGATTATGCATCATCATAGAGAAATAATGCTAACGCATTGATCGTGGTGCAAGAATGATTATAAACTTTGACACATGTAGTAAATTTACTACTGGAGGAGTGCAGAAAATATGGATATTGTCTTATTTTTGGAGATTTTTCTATAAATAAATTGAAAGTAAGAGAGTTGAAAAGTATATAACCTTAGTCTTATATTATTTCATTACTTACTATCACGCAACATACCAAAGAGAATATGTTTAAGAAAATTTGATGGATGAAAGCTTAAAATTTTAAAACAAAAAAATTCCACGTAGAAATTGCCTATATGCTTCACGTTCAAATTTATTACCTGTCATTTTCTTCAATCGAGAAAATCGTCAGGAATTGTCAATCATTCCATTCTGTTGAAATGAAATTACAGTTTCTTTTGATCACTTTCTAATGCTCCAACCAAAGCGGAACAATGAAAGTTACCAAGGGAAAATAATTGAATAATGTCACGAAATACATATATCATGATAATCAGACCATAATGCCGACCATCATGCGTGAGCAAAGTGCAGCATTCGTGGGCAATCAAGCCCCATTCATCAGATGAATAAAAAATTACTCTCGCTACTGCAAATAAAGTTGAGCTCGCCACTCATTCGGGCAATATGAGTAGGCAAACAATTGAACGGTCTGAAGCGAGATCGCTTTGTCTGAAGTATCGACACAGCGGACGATTTACAGCGACGAGTTTCGCACGAGTGGTGACGCCGATGTCAGACTCATCAAGGATGGAATGCGAGGCTTCGATGTTGCCAATGAAAATTCAGAAGCAAGACACTTTTTATCAATGAGTCAACAGTCGCTGTAACTTTCAGAAGCGTGAGCTTCTTGAAGTGATTAAGACGATCACGAGCTTCTGTTTAGAAAAACGATTCATTTTACACTACTTTCTCTTGGCGGTAACTCAAGTTGGCGATAGCAAATACAACTCATTAGCGATAGCTAATACATCCAAAGACAGGGATAATTTTATAGTTTAATTTTGTAAGCGAAGAACTGTGAAAAATTATGCGCCCGGTGAGAACCTTGTTTAGTTAGTAAATTGAGGCTTTAATTTCTTTATATATCCGACCTCATCTGACAATTATCTACAGAGTAGAAGTGCCGGTTATCATGTGCCTCAAATAAAATAGAATCTCATCTTTAACAACACAAGTGGTTAATTGATTGTCTCTATTTATTACCGATAGTCAGCCGGTGCTGAGTCTGCCTCTATTTTTGTCATGCAGCAACATGTGCTACTCGATATATAAACCTGAGTGGAATAGAATGTTCCACCTCGGCAGGCATCGCTTTTTTTACATCAGGTGGACAAACACTAATACGGAAGGGGCACATCGAATTGAAAAGAATAATAATTGAGCATCCCTGCAGATTTCCTCGGAGGAGGCCTCAATAAGCACCTTTTAGGGAAGATAAGGCTCGTTATCGGTCTTCTTTAGCCTCAACAACGTCAATTTGAGTAGCAAGGATTACGCAGAAAGCCTTAGCTAAAATCATTACAAGTACGCCATTTATATGGAAATTTCCAATTAAAAAATTCCTTTGGTTCCACTTCACATAAGCGAATACTATACACGCTAAATTATTTCAGATAATTCAAAGAAAAAATTAATAGCCGGATACATGAAATTTAAGCGATAGAAAAAGGCAACCGCTGCAAGGCAACAAATATCTTGTTATTTTTAATACTTTATGGCGAAGATTTATGGCGCTGCAGTTATTGTAAAAATTTTGACCATAAAAAGACTTCACAAACATCGCAGGCCTATAGTAACGGGTGATTTATAACTCATCGTCTCACTCCATATAATTGACTTCATCGGGCTATTTCAGACTTGGGGTGCTACGTCTCATTTAGCCGTCGCAATCATCCAATCGATATAAACCTTCTATTGTCGAAGCAGTGAATAAGTGTTCGATTAGCGTCTCAACTGAATGCGCAGAGCTCTGCTATTTTGTAAGATATTTCATCATATGAATGATGTCTTCCAGATTCAAGTAAGATTTCCACACAAACATCTCACTAAATTTGTCTTAAGCATTTTGATTGCAAGATGTTTCGAGAGTCATGACTTTCACTCACATCCTAAACCCTATACCAATGAAAAAACTTTAACGCCATTTGCACTGTGGCGTTGAATTAAACGCACCTGCTTGCCGCGGCACTCGTTCCATTAACCAGCAAACCATTAGTAATAAGATGCAATGTACCTGCTTGCCGTGGTACCAAAGCATTCATGTTCCTCTTAACAAGAAAAAAATTGTATTATAACAACATTTGCGTAATGGTGTTGGATTGGACGCACCTGCTTGCCGTGATATCAAAGCATGTTCTTCTTAGCCGAAAAATTTCTATTATAACGACATTTGCACAATGGTATAGGATAAGACACACCTGCTTGCCGTGGTACCAGAGCATGTTCTTATCAGAAAACAATTTCTATTATAACGACATTTGCTTAATGGTGTTGGGTAAAATGCACCTGCTTGCCATGGTACCAGAGCATGTTCCTCTTAGCCGAAAATAATTTCTATTAAAACAACATTTGCACAATGGTATAGGATAGGACGCACCTGTTTCACATTGGTACCAGAGCATGTTCTTATCAGAAAACAATTTCTATTATAACAACATTTGCTTAATTGTGTTGGATAAGATGCACCTGCTTGCCGTGATACCAGAGCATGTAGGCGGGGGCCTTGGGTGAGTGCCGCACCACGCACGTCAGGTTGATGTTGGACCCCACGTGGATGTGCAGATCTCGTGCTCCCAGGATACGTGTTTCAGGCTCTGCCCGAGTACCAGACAAATCGATTTTAATTTATACATACGTAATAAATCTATAGAGTTAATTAAATGAGGCCCAATATAAATAAATTACTAAGCACACGCAGGCTCAGTGAAAAATCTTGTCAATAAAGTTCCTAATTGACCCTCAGAAGTCCATCGTAAAATATCATTATTGGCATATTTGAGCTTGAACAAATAGCAAGTTGGAGGATAGCCCCAAGGAAAAATATACTACAAAAGAATCAGACGAAAAATTTCAAGTGAAAGCCTTGATGCTGATATCCTCGATAATTTCCCAATTAAAATTGCTTCATATTGGAGTATTGACGACTATCGGCAAGTAATCCAAAATTAAAAGCGCATCACCAGAGGCTCTCTAGGACGCAAGATCAAACGACCGAGCGTCACTAGGAATATCGAAATGGATTCTGAAGTTTCCGAAAAGAGCCTAAAAGTGACAGATGCATCAATATTGGAATGAAGATTAAATAGAATTCCCAAGAAAAAGCTTCACCTACCCAAAGGCAAGATGAAGCGTTGTGCAGATATTTAATTTTATGTGTTGCTGAAGATGGAAGTGCTCTAAATGAAGGAGCATTATTGTAAACTTTGCATGTGCTATTGGCAGACGATTCAATAATAATTATTTTCTATTGGACATAATTTGCAGTCAAAGATTCGTGACTGCAAATTATTAATTAATTAATAACTTATTCTAAGGTTATTTGCAACTGAACAAGCATGCAAATAACTCATCTAGAATACATTTGTAAGATAAAAAGATTTGAAATATTTTGGAGCCAGAATTTTAATTATCTGATAAAACCCTGGCCAAGATAACAATAATTACATCGATTGATTTTCAAATCGCTTTATCCTATTGTAGGATGTAAAAAATAAGTAAAAGTCATTTGTCACATTAAAATCTTATCATAATCACACAATCTTAATTATTATCATCACTAAAATTCAGGTCACAGTTGTGAGTGAAAATATGCTGAATAAGGGTGAGCCTGCCGGAAAGATATCCTCAGGCATCCGAAAACGAGAAATTGAAAATTCTCGTAATATTGAAACTTTGATGGGTAAATAGGCTATTAAGCTGCTATGATACCGTGTTCACAACATAGAAGTTTGCTCAAAATTTAGAGGAAAATTTCTTTTTCCCATTCCTTCACCCTCTTATCAACCCATCAAAAACAAAACTTGGTCAATAACAAGAGAGTCTCGCAATCAACAAATAATTTATTATAATTTAAGTGATTAGACTCCGTTTCCAACGTTCGACCAACCAGCCAAGATTCTAGAGAGATGCTGAACTTTTTTATACTTTATGGACATCTGGTCACTGGAACTTACACATGAACTAATTTAGTATTAAACCGGCGGCTAGCATCAATTCCAAGTCGTATGGATTTTAGTTGAGCTAAAAAAGATTTTAGGCTTCGGAGATTTAGACATAATTATTAAAAATTAAATTCATTGTGTGTACGTAGGATGATGAATGCTTTAGTTGGGAATTAATCGAAGTAATTAATGGATTATGATTATTATGAATGATAAAGAAATATCAAATTGCAAAACGAATTAGGATAATATCAAGTTTCAAGCAAAACCTAATGATAAGAAGTTTCATTTGTCGGATAAAATTAACTTAGAATCTAAATTACTCACCGACCACTTGAAGCCAGACGGTGTAGCTGAGAGGTGGATTAGTTGAGACCTGGCACTCATATCCACCTTGATCCCTCTTCTGTACGTAGTGGATCTTCAGGAGCCAGTCGTGAGAGCCACTCTGATGGATCGCCTTGAAGCGATCGTCACTGGTGTAAGTGAAGCGCCCAACCGTCAGCAGATGCAGGTCACGTGTTCGCATCCACGACACCTTACATGTGACCACAAAGCAACATTCAACCGCAAGAATTCATCGATAATCAAATAAATAAAGTCAATTATGAAATTAGTCTAAACCAGAGGTATCACGAATCACAGCGTTGGCACCGCAGAACTTACACCGTAGCTTGGTTAAATCTTGGATGATGACTGGGAAACTATCACCACGGTATTAAACATATATTACAATGTTTTTAATTCTCGGCATAGTCGTCGCCATCACCACATATAAGCACTAAACAAGTCCCACAGATAAACATCCAAATCGTGAGGCAATTAAACTCAAACTTCACTAGTCCCCACAACCGTTGATATTTGTCAATGGTTGTGACTAATTTGTCAACGGTAGTCTTTTTTAAGACTAATAATCTAAGCCAGCCGTCGGATCGATGAAACAGCCATCGGACTAAAAGAAACACTAACCTGGCAATAGATGCCATAGAACCATCAGACAACAATAGATCAGATGCAATAAGACACCAAATCCTGTTGTAGACGACTTACCAAGCAGACAAAAACATACAAAACCTCGGTATAATCGCTTTAACCCTCAGACATAGAAAATACGCCAAACCCTGTGATAGATGCCACAATAACACAGTATATGCGCTTGAAATAGCCGTTGCAACTCACGGTCTTGCCGCCGCCGTATTTTATCCTGCAGTTGAGCAGCGCAGTCTTGCCGATCTGCGTGCTGACGTTGCCGGAGAACTCTGCGTCGACTGCGGGGCCGCTCAGAGGCACGTACTTCCAAGCGACCTCCTCAGTGTGCGCCTCCTGCAGCGCCTTGTCCAGCTTCGCTGAGTTGGTCTTACTGATCGTATCTGCAACCATAGTTAAGTATTTCGGTAATTATTACAATCTAATTCGATTGTACATTGTACATATTCGGTACATTGTAATAATTCGGTAATTATTACAATGTAATACGATTCGTAACCTTGCGGAAAATAGGAATTCTTGGGAAGGGTGTTCTTTTTGCCTGTTGGATTCTTGGAAAATATAATATTTTAATCGTGAAGAATTATTATGTCAACAATACGGAGACTGCTCACGTCACGCTAAGTCTGAAATTGTTTGCTAAGTTTAAATAACTATTCGCACTTGCAGAGTCCAGCAGCCGTAATTGAAAAAACTACCCATTGATTTAAATAAAAAAAGCTAGTTATAAATTAAAAAATTTTACTTCCAAGAAGAAAATTTTAGCAAAGTTTTGTTAAACGAGCGGGAAAATAGGGACGTCAGGCTTGGGCTGGGCCTCCGTTTGATCTCAAACGACAGACGCGGCGACAGCGCCATAAATGTTTTCCGAGCAGCCTGCCTCAACCACGGTCTTTATAAGCTAAAGAAACGGAAATTAAAAATGACCCTTAAAATTAAGTATTTGATATTCTATTTAATTTTGTTCACTTTAATCTTCAATGGATGCATTGGTGTTTATGCACAAAAAAATTCAACTGGATATAAGCAGAGAAAATTTTAATTTTAAACTCCTTGGAAATAACAAAAAAGTTGCTAAAGCAGTTTCTATCCTCAATAAAATTAAATTGAGATGACGGAGAAAACGACCACAAACGTGTAAGTTTGTATTAAGTTTAAAACGACCACAAATTTGACCTTAAACTTATATTAAATTCGAACGCAGTTAATAACTAAGCTAAAATAGCGATTTGCACAGCTAACAAGGCGTGTGTGAAATATATTGACATATTTTCATTCAAAAAATCGAAAAAATATTAGATCAATCCCTAAAAATATTATACGCCTGACGAAAACCTTTTAACATGTCTGTGCTGGGAGCTGGTGGACGTTAACTAGACGGAGGAAATTCCGACTTTCGCTCTAGGGAACGCTGTCCAATTTGCTCTGAACGAAGAACATCAACAACACACTCTGCGCCATCCATCTTTAAAACTTTGCGGTGAAAACACTTCCTTCTTGCACGACGGCTTTGTGATAAGAAGAGCACTCAATTATTTCATTTTGAACTGCTTCGAGCTAACCATGAATCATGATTGATTTTGATTTATGGATTTTTTGTGCATTTAAAATTTATTTTGTTCATATCTTTTAGAAGCGTAAACTATCACATCGCTCTACTATGTTGTGTAAAATGTATGAAGAATTAGTATTTTTTTTAGATAATCTTTGTACATCACGGCTTGAACTGTTTAATGTGAGCGTTTTTAGTGTGAGCACGTCTACTATAATGATGCCACGATTGAAATAGATGCTACATTAAACGGTGCATTTTTCTTGCTGTAAGTAAAATCTACATTGAGATGATAAAAATAAAATGTACGTTTGACAGTGTGTAATAAGCACCACTTATGAATAACAAGCTCTATTTAGAAAAGAAACTGGAAGCCGACTGTAAGGTGAATTTACTTTCGTTCCTGTGCTAGAGGCACCAAATATGCAAAAATATTGAGAAATGGCTTAAATTTTTACAGCCGTATGAAAGAGGTAGCAATGGTGGCAGGCTGCAAATAATGGCAATCGAAGACGAATGTATTTAAAACCAACTTCTTCCTATGCATAATAATCACCGTTTGTAGCCGGCTGGGCAAGGGAGATATTTGGTGTTAAAGACTATTCAGAACGGTATTTACCGAGACGGAAGCACGATATTACTTCGTGGGAACAAGCTTTGAAAAGAAGCAACTGGGTGTAGTAAGCTATGGATGCAAAGAGTGCCTTATACCAGTATATGTAGAAGAACTACTTGCTGTGACAGACTGCAAGAAATACTATTTGTTGCAGAAAATTCAAGAACAAGAACTTTGTGTGGCAGGTTGTGAGAAAAAGAACGCTGGAAAAGGACACAGGAAGTGATTTGGAGTGGCAGGACAAGGGAAAGTACAGTATTTGGAGCACAGCTAGCAAGAGAATCAAAATAGAACAAGATGATTGTGCCATTTATTATGGAAATCAAGTTTAGTTTTAATTTCATCAAACGATGTTTTAAAATACATCTTGCAAAAGTTCGATTTATTACAGCGCATTTCATAATTCAGAAACTAATTTTTCACGGTTTAATACAAAATAATAGAATGATTTTAGCTCGCTACTCCTTATGATTTATGATTTTTAGATTGCTACTCTTTAATTATAACAGTTCTTAACACGCGTTTTTTTACATTTTTACAGTTATTCTGCTATTGATAGTTCGTTACTCACATTATTCATTATTTCTCGATGAAACGCAAAAAAAAATTGCAGCTCGAGGATACATATGTGGCTAAATTGGTCAATGTGGTAGAATCTATAAATGGTCGAGCTCAGTTTCGAGGATTCTACATTATTTCCTTAATTATAATTGTAACTATTAGGGTAATTGTTCATGTCAAATTATTTATAAATTTGTATGCGTCGTTTTAATTGCTTATTCTAATGTGGTCATCTTCTACATTTTATTCCAGTTGGCATTAGCTCAAACTAAAGTTCATCAGTCACAAAACCTAAGATTAAAAACTTTAATGTCAAGTCGAGCATGCATTATCAATCCATTCCATGATCACTTTTCTACCAGGCGATGACCATGTCGACATTACTTCAATTTTGGTGGTAATTAGCGTTAGAATTGATATGGTTGATCCGTACGTCATGGCGATGTCCATGTGGATTTTACTGGCTGAACGTCGGCATGATTGAAAGTACAAAAACTGTATTCCATTCCTATGAGTTTGCATCAATATATCTTTTCAATGACTTTTATCATTTTTTTCAACTTCCAGGAGGAAAAAATCATGTTTGAAACACTCAAACAGACCATGAAGGGATTTTGTTGACAATTATCCTAAGTGTAAAGAAAAGAAGAAAAATTAATTTCCTGCGGCTCATCGCAACGAACAACTCTCTTAGTTCCTTTCAAGGAATCATCCTTGCATTCTTCACTTTCAAAACTCCTTATGTGCACTGACGCGCAGCGATATTTCACGGTATGTCCATTCATCTCGTAGATTTATTTGTTCATCTTGTCCCTTTTCATGACAGCGTCAAACAACTACATTCTCCACCTGACATACGGAGAGGCTATGATGAAATTGTATTTCTCAAAGGGAATATTAATAAATCGTTAACACTTCCTTGGAAATGGAGCTATATTAATGACAGATTGGGTAGTAAATTATCTGTGCGACGCTTGCTTAGTATCCTGCGTAGTATATTGCTTAGTAACTTAGTATCTTTTTTGTACGATGCTTGCTTAGTATAACTTTTTGGATTGCAGACTTGGAAATGGAGCTATAATAAAGACAGATTGGGTAGTAAATTATCTGTACGATGCTTGCTTAGTATCCTGCTCAGTATATTGCTTAGTAACTTAGTTCTTTTTTTGTGCGATGCTTGCTTAGTATAAATTTTTGGCTTGCAGAACCAGGCCGTCATACATTACATATTTTACCGAAAAACTCTCGCACATGTTGTAGTCACGAGCTTGTTAAGGAAAATAAATAATTTTTAAGCGAGCAGCAATAAATTTATCTAAGGGTAATTATGATAAGCGAAACATTAAGTTAACACTCACCATGATCTTCATGGCCCTCATTTCTTCATATATATTAGATTACACTCAATTTACTAATAAGTTTTCTGCTATATTTATTATTAATCAACTGATTCTTAATAACCACTTGCACTGTTTTATATAGATAAGCTGAAGGTGCTACGTGTCAACGCTTGTCTAATTCGGCAAGTAAGAATTGTTCACACAGCAGAGTCTCGCACCACGCCGACGGCGAGGTCATTCCTAGAGCAGCAGCGACGCACGTCTGCACAGCGCCGCGTTCCGGCACCAACTGAACCCTCAAATGAAATCGAACGCGATGCAGCATTTGCATATGACGGTCGTTATAAGAGTGCATATATAAATTCTATTTTTTAAAAGCGCATAAATATTACTTACTACGAAAAGACTATTACTTATCTCACTAACAGAGCGATGATTCTACTGTAAGACAATATTCATCTCCAAGGAGAACACCTCTGCGTTATTTCATGCAAAGTTTTTTTATTGTGTTCGTGTGAACAAGCGTTTAGAAGAGAAAATAGAAAAATAAATAAATAATTGATAGATAATTTCATACATACGTAAAAATTATTATTCGTGTTATATGTTTGTTAAGAATTTTAAACTACGAATTAAACTTAAACTACGAACTACTTCCTCCTAAAATCCTAAAGTTAACTAGTTTCCTCTACACAAACTAAACTTCAATGGCTGCGAGAAAACTTTTGCTATACATGACCATCGACATACGACACGTTGGCAACACGTTCACAACACGACCGCATGACACGACTTCTGCACGCTGCGATCCATGTTATGCGTCTTGGCAGGGGATCAGCAAAAATTATTTTAAATCCGAGCAAATGATGCTTCGTTTGTCATTTTGTATAGCTATTGAAGGTCTGGAATATACAACCAATCTCGTCGCATGGAGCCATAATTTGTTTAAGATTTTTACACTTATTTGTCATTTACAAACACTTATAGTCATTAATATTGTGTTATAGCTGTAGCACTCGAGCGAAAACAATACAAAACCTTATCGTGTTCCGTATTATTCAGACGGTCAATGATTCAGGGCATTCGTATAATTTTAAATTTCTAATCATGTTAATCATTATCATCACGTTGTATAGACTTACCTGCCATTACTGAAAAACTATGATTTATTGGTAATTAGTAGCAGTTAAGTTTAGTAAAAAAGGCTTCATTCTGAACCGAGAAGCGGCTGACACGCACATATCAATAGCAAGAATTTAAGACAAGACCCAAGACTTCAAGACTTCAGACGCTTAAAATGAAAATCACTCGAAT